AAATATCAAAAACATTTGATGTCTAGTGTAGGTTTATCAATACCAATTTCTGACCAATATAACTCAATTTTTCCATCATGTCTGATAAATTTATAATCTGCAGTTAATCATATTGTACTTCTATGGCAAGTGTTAAATTTATTTTGTCATGCATGCATGCATATACACAAACAGTTTACAAAGAGTACTTTTCCTATGCCAAATTTTATATTTCCTATGTGACAGAGAAAAAATTAAATAACTAATAATTGTCAGGTTTGCATATTTTGTGCAATCCTTACTGTGCAAAAGCATAGAAACAGAAGGAAGAAAAAAAGAACAGTTATATAAAAGTTGATATTAGTATATCCTTGTTACGATGTGCAGTCTACAAAGAGGTTGACATTAGTGCTTGAACATTGATGTAATAGTTCATTGAAGCAAATGTTAGATCCGTTGGTGCTTTCTGAATGATGAGGAAAGTATGTGTTCACATATCATTAAACTGTACATTACATATTTAACATATTACATTAAAGCTAAAGAAAATTTACAATATAATTAAATATAATATAAGCTTATTTAATGTAATCAGTTTGTTATACAAGTAGAATCTCGTTTTAATGGATTGCTTGGTCAGCCAAAAATCATCCATTGTTCCAGGAATCCATTATATCACAAACAACAGACTTCCCTCATACCTAGGAAATTTTCAAAAAGTTATTCAAAAAAAATGTTTGTGTTTTAATTCCCTGCATATAAGAAATGCCAGTACTTAAAATTATTAAATTTTTCTAGCTCTCTGTTCTTTAATCTATAGAGCAGGATTTAATCTATAGAAACATGTATTTTACAAGATAGCATAGCTCATTAGCACTTTGCTCGACTTCACAATTTGTTTAAAAGTTCATCCATCTCTGCTTTTCTGCATATTAAATACAACAATTGCTTGATATTAATGTTATGTATTGTACAGTCTATTCATTTATGCTGATACTCATAAGGAAGGTCTTCAAGACTTGGTAAATTGTGTCACTACATTCAGATCAGCATCAGAATGTTCTCTAGGTGGCTCCTCCTCAATTGTAGTAGCCTACTGGCTCTTTATACAATTCTTCAGTTGTTCTGTGCATATCCTAGATGTAATAAGTGCATCATTGAATTCTACAAATTCTCAGAAACACCCAAATATTAAACTAAAGTAAAAAAAAAAAAAATGCAAAGTTTACAATGAACAGGGATAGAAAAATCTGTTATTCAAAGTTACAGATCCTCTGATGAGATAGAATTACATAATTTTGCGGACCTGGAAAAACTGTTGTTCACGATTCATTAAAACAAGATTCTACTGTATCTATAATGAATATTAAATAATTACTTAGGAAATCTATGTTTTAGTAAAATAATGAGACAGTCCAACTCCCTATACTTCCTATGTTAATAGGGTTCTATTATATATTAATTGTAAACATTATTATTATTGTCATGCCATGCTCAGCTGATTCTGGTTTCAAGTGCTATGTTGGACTAACAACAAACAAGTATAACATTAAGTTGTGTTATTGGTATGTGTGTCACCATCTAGAAACTTCTCAACAGTGTGGCATGTTCAATATTGCTGCTTTCTGTAGTGCCGTGTATATGTTTTTATTAAGGTTTAATGTTTGTAGACTTTTGTGTAGTGTATGTGGCATAACACCAGTAGAAGAGAGGACAAGTACAGTACAATAAACACTTATCCATCCTCCACATCTGTCTTATTTCTTGAATGAGTGGTGTGTACTTGTTTTTTTTTTCAGTGTGGACAATTTTTGTTATGAGAGTTTGAAACGGAGATGATGTCTATTATATAAGTGATCTTATTACATTTGTCAATGAGAGTGATGTCGGATCTATTGTGATGAATTGTTTTATTAGTGATTATGGATCTGTTGCAGTATATTTGTAGTATGGTACATGGGTGTTTAACAATCTGTTATATGTTGTATTTTTTCTGGCAGAATGTGACATTTTCTGCATGAGTCATTTGTGAGTGATGCATCTTTTGGAATGTGTTTTTTGTAATTTCTAGTGTTTATGGTCTGATATTGAATGATAACCATAAACACCTCAGTCTCTCCAAACAGATAGCCCTTAGTTTGATGCAGCTTTGTCAAAAGAGTTCTGAGCTTGATCAGGCATGCCAGTTCTTTTTGGGCCCATGACTGCTTACTGGTGTCTGTTGTTTATATTTATATTCAGATGCTCAGAGTTTAAGTTTAAAGGTGTGTGGTTACTGTCTGCCAAAGTTATAGCTTTATTTAATCTTTGTGTTTCCTGTTTTTTTTTGTGGAAAAACACCTATAGTGTCAAAATTTGTTTGTGGGTTAAGTTTACTATATTAGTCAGACCCTGGCCACCTTCTTTCTGAGGAAGAATTAGTCTTTCTGTGAATGATATTGTTTATGCTTAGTATTATTGTGTTTTCCTTTGGGGTTGCTCAAGATCTGTGCATGTCCAGTATATAACTCCAAAAGAATAAGTGAGTACAGGGACTGACAACATATATATTAATAGCTTTAATAGTATGTTTTGCATATAGGTTTGTTTTTAGTACTGCATGTAAGCTGTTCTGCTATTTGAGCATTAATCTTTATTTTATCTGTGCATGTTCTGTAAGTTTGGCCCATTGTAATCCTAAATATTTGTAAAACTCTCCCTCTTCCATGGATTCAATATCTCCACTTCTGAGTACAAAGTTTCCTTTCTTCAGTTTCCTTTCTTCAATTGCGGACCTGGAAAAACTGTTGTTCACGATTCATTAAAACAAGATTCTACTGTATCTATAATGAATATTAAATAATTACTTAGGAAATCTATGTTTTAGTAAAATAATGAGACAGTCCAACTCCCTATACTTTCTTTCAGAACTCTTTTCAATGTGGAGTGTTTTGCATTTGTATATCATTGTGTATGTGTGTGGAGTTTATAAGACATGATGAAGCTGGTTTTGTGTGGATGCATAAAATTTGATATTGTTCATGTACACGAGGTGTGAGAATGTGTACAGTGTAGTTTTGTTGTCTGATATTGTCGCCATATTGTGTTTTGTTCAATGTGTTAGATACAGGGTTATGTTAAGGCAGAACCGAAAAAAGACTCAAGTAATCTCCTTGAAAAATTCCTCACATAATGTATATTTGATTTGTTTATATGTAATGTTATGGAGATTAAGATGTAATGTTCTCCAGTGAAGCATGGGAAAACCAAGGAAACTAATGAGTTGGGGATGAATTTTGGCTGCTGCACACACTTTGCACCTACTTATCAATAGCATGGCAAACTCTTATTTATGACACTTGAGAAGCCAAAAGAGATCCTTCTATCTACAGAGCATGCGCAAGTTTAACACGATGATTGTACGAGTTTCCTTAGAACATTGCGTTCAGATTTTGAATAACATTCTACCCGTTTTATTCACCCGAAGAAGAACTAAGTTCGAAAACGTTTGTGAAAATATTTTGAAATAAGCACTGTTTTGGTTTACAGCAGAAGTAAGTTGTTGAGTCATCATGCTTTGGCTACAAGTTTTTGTTTGAGTGTGTCAATATATTTTGTGACATGGCCAGTGTGTTGTTTGTGCTTTGTATATGTTTTAATTTTCTTGAAAACATTTTTAGTTGTTTCATTAATTTAGGTGGTGTTTTGTTGCTAGCATATTGTGTCAGTCTGCCTAGCTGCTGTCTAATAATGTTTGTGTTTCTATTCTTTGTCAGGCAGGCTTCTGAAGTGTTTTTGATTTATGATTTAGTGCTTCTGTCTGTCATTGCAGTTTTAGCGCATGGTAGGTCACTACTGTGACTGCACCTACATAAACTAGTGTGTGAATGTCTGCAAGTGTAGAAATAGAATGAGTGCAATCTGGTAATAGTGCACATAGTGTAGAATTTTCCCTACTAGTTTAGAAGTATAGGTTTTGGAAATACATGGCTGTTGTGCAGGGTCAGAGTCTGTAAATTTAGTGAGTGCTTCCTGGAAAAGAAGAGAGAGTATGAATTAAACCTGAATCTATTTCAGGCAGTGAAGAAGCATTGATACAGTCAGCATCAATGAAAATGTGTGTGATAAGAACAGTATTGTCTACGCATGTATCCTGATGTTCTGAAGGATTGTGATTATTGATGTTGGAATTGTTTGTTTGTTGGTATAATTGTTTTACAATTTGTTGTTTGTGGTATAAGGTTATTACATATTATTCTTTTTTGGTCAACATTCCTTTGTACAATGACTGAGGTGAGGATAATGTTGTGAAAACAAGTGATGTAACAACCCACAACTGGTTTGGACATTGTATTAGCCATACTTGGACCAGTGTTGCTTTCGCCACTGGTGGACAAGGAAAACACATATTTTTCAAGTGTTAGTCTCTGCCTAACTCACAAGTGCAGACCTTGTTAACCTGGGTGACATCTGAGCCTGTATGACACTTGGATCATGTTATCACCATGGGTAGATTTCCACAGATGTACGTTCAGTCTTACTTGGCTTCATTTTTCCCCACAGACCTTGCTAGCATGGCTGACCCTATCAGGAGCAGATGCTCCAGACAGCATAGCTCTGTGGTTCATCAGAATTACTGAGCTCTCTCATCATAGCAAGGTGGTGACTATCGAAAGTATTATTGTTATTTATTTATTTATTTACTGGGTTATACTTGGTTGATACTGGTGGCTGTGTACTATGCTGGACCAGAGTCAAGGCGTAGCAACCAAAAACTTATTATTATTATTCATATAGTCTTTTTAAATTATCCATAATAATATCTTTGTTCTAATATAATTATCTCTTTCTAACTTGTTACCGGTGCGTCTAACTCTTAACAATCCAAAAAACGGATCGTTAAGAGTTAGACGCACCGGTAACAGATTAGAAAGAGTTATATTACTATTCTCCGGTGTTGTGATAAGGAGGTGTAATCTTTGTTTTAATTTATATTATTGTAATATTGCAAGATATTTATTTATACTTATTAATAATTTCAGGTGGCTATGGAGGTGGTGGTGGTGGTGGTTATGGTGGTTTTCGAAGATAAGTGCCATAATTTGAAAGGGGAATGGGGTGAGTTTTATATAGTGTATTTTGAATATTCATAAATTACATGCAAAAAAAAAAGATGGGAGATTTATAAAAATGTAATAATAATAAATCCCATGGATATTGACACAATACACAAAGTTGCAGTTCTCTTCTGCATGAAAAATAAATTGGAACAATTTTAAATAATACAGGGTCTTTCTAATATTACTTATAGCAACATCTGTTACCTCGTCACCTTTAGATAGCAAATTAGATTACATTTTAATAGCTGTTTTTTACATTTGATCTAGGGATGTTTTAGACAACAGCCAGGAACTTATAGCCAGTCAAGCTAGAGAAAGGGTGTATAGTCCAATATGATAGATGTAGCTGTATCTGAAGGAAAGAACTGATTGAAGTGAAGTTGAAACAAGATTCAGCTAGGTCTTCTAAAACATCTGAGCAGGAGGTCCAGTGTTTAGACAACAGTTCATCAAAGGCACTTTATTAAATAATCTCGCATTCCCTATTGACTTGATATTTTAATTGGGTCTACTTCAGATCGCACATATTTCATTATCTGCAGTCATTGTTATTGTAATGCTATCATATCGTTGTCAGTCAATTTCATTGCTATCAGTTATTTTTATCTTCTATATAAATTTGGTGAATGTATGATTAGTAAGAGAAATAAATCATCATATTGGCTTTCACTAAACAATGGAGTTTTCAAATTATTTAGGATTAACTTTAGTCATGTTTAGGATATAGTATGAAAGCACTGGACCTTTAGAATAATAATAAAGAAATTTTTTTTATTTTAATTTTATAACATTCTTTATGTTGAATTGGTTTTTAATTTTGGAATATTGACAGATTATAAGCAAAAATTTTATTGTAAAATAATCAGGGGTCTTTTTAAATTCTTGAAAAGAATTACATATATATTATTTGCAGTTAAGAAATTTAAATAGTATGTAAAAGTATATTTTTAAAGGTATGTAATTTTAACATGAGAGGGTTTAAATTACGAACTTTAAAGTTTTGAAAAGAACAATTAAAGTGAAATGTTCAAATACTGAATGATTTAATTATATGAAATTAAAAAAATTAATTGAATACTCTTCAGTGTTTATTAGAATTAATATTTAAAACATTACAAATATACATTTATTGGGTAACTTTTTGAATAAAGATTACTATCATTCTTATACTTTATTAGTATTATTGTAAAAAGGGTCTGAAATAAATAACTTAAAAGAAAAAAGAATAATTGACAATCAAAATTACATGTGAGTTAACAATGAAAATTTAATAAATTTCGATAAAATTCAATCTTGAAAATACAAACTAATTTTTTTTTCTTTCCATTATTCTTATTATATTATAAATATTGAGAATTGCATCTACAATATTTGAAGTGGATCACTGTCAGGAAAGTTATAATAGATGCATTCATGGTGATATATGAAATCTAGTGATGAAGGAAATTACAATAAAATATTTTAGTTCTAGTGTGTAATGTTTTGTATCATCATTCTATTTATAAACTTGAAACTGAATTTATAACACACATTTTAACATTGTAATTTCCTTTTAAGCAATGTATCTTAATAATCACTATTATATGTTTGCCTTTCTGTTTAAATTTTACTGGCCATTCAATATAAAATGTTCAAATAATAAAAGTTCAAAATGTAGGATTTAAATTTCATAAAAATTCAGTACTATATATTATTTTGTGGAGAGAGTTTCTGTCCTACAAATAGTTACTAGCTACAGTAGGTCAGTTTTTAGCTGGAAATCATTACTATGCTATAACATTTGAAAAGATGTGAGGTGAATTTTAAGCTTCTCATAAATATCAAAAAGAATACTTAAAACAGAATGCTTCCTCTTACTAGTTATAAGAATGTAAATGATTTCAAACAATCTAAAATATAATTATTTCTTCATTCAAACAAAAATTGAAAAAATTACCTTTAAAATATTATACAATAAGAGAATAGTTATCTTACATGAAATACGTTTTATTTTACCAAAATTCCCTGTAATTATGAAATTTATTATATATGATTGCAATTCTATAAGATAACTTGGTAAGAAAATAATTTAATTCAAACAAAAATTAGGTTGAAATAATAATTGATGTTAAGAAAAGAACAATTTTTACTACTTAAAATAGGTTTTGTTGTGTAAAATTGTTTTAAGTGCCATTTCAGAATTATTGTCATATTTATTACAATTATAAGTAAATTGCAGATTGTCTCTGTTCAGATAAAGTTAATTGTTTAAAACAAGAATGGAAATAAGATTTAATTTCAAAAATGTGTTTGTGTATATACATGGTAGGGTCAAAAGTTTCTGGTAAAACAATATTGTCATTTTTCAATATAGTCGTCTTGTAGTTTAATGCACTTATTACATCTTAGAATAAGCATTTCAATGACCTTTAAAAAAATAATCTTCAATTTTGTCTGCAAAATGCTCATAAAACTTTTTCAAAGGTCTTTTTTGAGTTTTGGAAACAGATAGTAATCACTAATAGCCATTTCTGGGCTATGAAAGTAGATGTCATACTCTTAAAACCCACACTCCTTCACAGCAGTCATGTGCAAGAGATGAACATGATGGAAGTTAACTAACATGAATGTTTCCAAGCAACTTATGCAAATTGATGGGAAAAACTTTTATTAGTCCACATACAGATGGTCCTCTCTGATACTGTCATTATTTTATTCCTATTGTGTCTAAAATACAGTTAGGCCAGAAACTTCTGGATCCTATGTTGAGGCAGGGCATCTATCTTCATTTTTGAGATATAAGGTCATTTCACAGTTGCTAACATATCTTCCATGTGCTTTGCTATAGAGTCAAGTTCATTCTCAATTTAATGTGTTGACTTTGATAAAACTTTGCCATTTTTCATTAATTGCGATGAGGAATCCATAAATGTAATCCGTGTCCATTTAAATATAAAAAATAAGGGTTAGGGGTTAAACTGACAATGTCCATCCATTCTCTCTGGTGTGACTGAGCAGATCTAATGGAATTTAGGCCTAGGAGTCAAAACTAAGAACTGCATTACATGTGCCTAACAGAAAATGGGTGCAAAAAATGAAAAAAGCAATCAAAAGTTCTTGGATTGCCTCTTCATGTCAGCCAGTGCAAGGATAATGACTCCCATGGCCAGCAGATACAAGGATTGCCTCTTTTGTGGCAGCAAGTGAAAAGTTTATCTATGTGCATTCATCAGCTACAAGAATCACCTCTTCTGTTCCTAACAAGTGCAGGGATTACTTCTTTTGCAACAACAAAGTTATGCAATATATATATATATAATTGGATTTGACAAAACAGTTTTAAGGAGAGACATATTTCAGATATGTGTAGGTATATATAAGAACAGGCTCTTTATCCTAATTACTAAAATTTTATAATAGAAAATTTTAGTTTTATATATTATTTTGTAAATAATCGGAAGTACAAAAATTTTATAATAAAAGAATTACACAAATTTAGCTTGTAGTGTTTTCCTCTTTTCTTACATTATGATTATTTTCTAGTTTAAAATGTTATGGAAAAGGTTTTCGATTTTTTTCTTCTTCTGATTAACTTGTCAAGTTTTTATTATTTTATCTTCTAAATTTTTTTTCCATCTTGTAATACTTTAAAAGTTAATGTCTGACCATTTTTAAATTTTATAGCATCTTTTTCTCTCTATATTGGTTCGTGTTTTATTAATTCCAAATATATTTAGTTGGTTTTATAACTGCAAAAAAATGCTTGTGATGGATAAATGTTGTACTCAAATACATTTGAAACTCAGGTAAAATATGTTTATTACACTTAGTTATGCATTTAAGAACAGAAAATTAATACAGTGATGTAGATTAAATCACAAGACAGACTGACTTCCCTTCTCAACATACAATTGGAATGTCAGTTAAGTGTCAGAGGCCACAGACAGTATGGATGTGATGTCATCCCAACCCAATAAAGTAAAATGACAATTATATGTACAATTTCAACTGCAGTAGAACAAATGTCAGTGTTTTCTGTGGGTGGTTTATTATCTTATACCAGGGGCAGCAAACTTTTTAGGAAAGGGCCAGATTGTAAAAAAAATCAAGTTCGGCAGGCCAGGTTGCAAACTCAAATAGGTATATTTTTTAAATAAGTTCTTTTACTCATAAATATAATTCAAAAATATTTTTATTATGAAGTGATATTTTTACATACATAATATTTATACACATTATTACTGATACTTAAAACCAAATAAAAACATTTTTAATGAACTTATTATGGAATGGTGAAAATTTGTACTAATGTGAAAAATGATATTGTTTCTTTTGAGACAATGTCATCATACTGAACTTTCAAGTTAGTAATTCTTATCATTCCCTTGGGCCAGATTGAAGACAGGTGGCGGACCATAGTTTGCCGACCCCTGTCTTAGACCAAAAATTTTAATGTTGTAATAAACTGAATGTAGTATATTATAGTAGTTAAATAACAAATATAAGATGAAATTAATTTCTTATGCATTGGTAATGTTAGTGGATTTTTAACCACTGCTATTTAACAGTTAATATTTTAAAATTCTATTTTTTGATAATCATCAGACTAAATAAATAAGTAGTTCTTTTACTTTAGCTATAGTTTTGAAATGACTATTACATTAAATGAAATCAAACTACTGAGGAAATTTTGCAAAAAGTGTATAACCTTTGAAATGAAAAAAAAATTGATAGTCATTTTTATCAAATAAATTTTTCAAATGATGGTTTTTTATCCAGTTGTTTATTCAGACCCTGTTTTCCCTCCTTCCAAATTTGTTTGATTTGGAAATTGTTTTCATATTTATATAAATTCTGGAATTTTAATGTCACTCGAATATCCACTATTAGAAATAAAAATAACAATAAATATTCAGATTCAAGACTGTCATCTGTATAATCAAATATTTCCTTAAAAATTTACAAAATCATTTGATAACTTTCCAAAACTGGTATATATTAATTTAAACATGTACAAGA